CCAGGTGGCGACCTGTATCCGCCTCCGTGCAGTGGGTCACCCGCTGACGAGCAGGGGTGAACTGGTGGACACCCGCATCCTGGAGGCCAGCACCACTCACCAAGTTCGTCGAGAACGAGGGGAGGTAAAGACCAGTCAGGGTGCCAGAGGGGGCCGCCGGACACGGGAGGACAGTGGAGAAGCGAGACAGGACAGGCCCCCCAGAGGGGTCAGCCAGGGACACCGCAACCGGCCGACTCAGCGGCGTGAGAGTGGTGCGGTCCCTAAAGAAGGAGCGAGACGCTCCAGAGTCAAGGGTGAAGGTGTGAGAGGCCGAAGCCGACACAGTACCTGAGAGGGCAGACTCACCAGCACCTGAGAGCACAGACGCACTGGCACCTAGAGCAGCAGCCTCACTAGTACCTGACGCGGCAGTACCAATGCCCGGGTCGGGCGGGAAACACCGGTAACAGTCATCCTCATCACTACCAATCGCAGCATACATAGCAGAGAGAATATCATCAAAATCAAGATCATAAATAGCTACACCAGCCCTAGACAGCTCTCCCCAGCGGGGGATCTCAGCTGCCTCCGGAAACTGCTGACGCCAGGCGTCAGTCAGGCGGCCAAAGCAGCGGCGGGCTGTGTGGGCGCCTCCACACCTCTCCCCTGCACGGTCACCGGTGCGAAGAACGTAGGGGCAAGGACCAAGCGCACCACCACGCTGACGCTGCGAGTACCACTCACGGAGCTGCTGAGGGGCGGGGACGGTGCGAGAGCGCTGCTGCTGCTGTCGCTGCTGCTGCGGCTGCTGCTGCTGCTGCTGCTGGCGCTGACCACCCCCAGAGCTGCTCCGCTGGGACGAGCCACTCCGACCCCCGCCTCCACCGCCACCCCCGCCTCCACCGCCACCCCCGTCTCCACCTCCACCTCCCCCACCAGGACCGTCGCTCCCACCGCTCCCACCGCCTCCTCCGCTACCACCTCCGCCGCCACCTCCGCCTCCACCGCCGCCACCAGTACCTCCACTCCCGCCACCACCCCCACCGCCACCCCCACTCCCCCCGCCACCCCCACCGCCTCCTCCACCGCCCCCTCTAGCTCCACCCGCTCCCTTGCCCCCCTTGCCCTTGCCAGAGCGGCGTCTGCCGCTGGGGGCAGACGCCGCGCCGACCGACTCAAAACCAGTGAGGTCGGCCGCAGCGGCAGAGGCGACAGAGGGCAGCAGGGGGGAAGGACCACACCCCTCAAAGATGGGGGTGCGAGGGTCACCCCGAGAGGCCCCTACAGCGACAATACTCTTCTCAGCCGCTAGCAGGGACTCCTCAAGGAGGTCGACAGTGAGAGTGGTGGGACAGACAGAGAGAAACTGGTCCCTAACGACACGAAGGGACTCAGGGAGACGGGTGACGAGAAAGTAGAGAGTGATGTACATGGGAGGAGGGTTCGCAGCGCGGAACTCAGCAGGAAGGGCAGCGCGGTAGCGGGTGTCACTAGCACGGAGGTGGGTAACGAGGTCAGCGACAGTGGGAAAGGAAGCGAGGTCAGGGAAGAGAAACGGTAGCATGAGGCGGCTAAGGGTAGCGAAGGAAGGGGAGGAGTAGCGTGCAACTACAGCGTCGTACAAGGCCTGAGCGGTCTTGGACTGACTAAAGTGGGCACGCTCAGAGGAAGGGAGGTGGCGACGCACAGCAAGACGTGTAGCAGCATCGCGGGTCGCCCACTTGGAGCGAACGGCAGAGTCAGCATCAGCAGGTGGGGCAGGGACAGCGCCAGAGACAAAGTCAAAGAGAGAGACCTCATCTATCGCATCACACAGTAAGTACAGCTGCAGGTCTTCAATCCAGACGGCAAAGTCAATGGCCCTCCCCTCAGCGTCAAAAGTAAGAACATTGGGGGTGGCCATGGCAGCAGCTGAAAGTCTCACCGGGCTGGGAGAGTCGGGTAGGTCAGCAGCAGAGGAACACAGCTCAGGAACAGCAGCACGGCTCCTCAGGCGGCTCGGGCGGCTCGGGCGGCTCGGGCGGCGGCTCGGCCGCAGCTCAGCGGCGGCTCGGGCGGCGGCTCAGGTGGCCCGGGCGGCGGCTCAGGCGGCGGCGGCTCGGCGGCGGCTCGGCTGCTGCAGGGCGGCTCGGCTGATGCTGGGCGGCTCGGCGGGGCCGCGTAGCAGAGGGCGGCGGGGCCGCGTAGCAGAGGGCGGCGGGGCCGCGACCGAAGAGGGCGGCGGGGCCGCGTAGCAGAGGGCGGCGGGGCCGCGTAGCAGAGGGCGGCGGGGCCGCGTAGCAGAGGGCGGCGGGGCCGCGTAGCAGAGGGCGGCGGGGCCGCGATCGAAGGGCGGCGGGGCCGCGTAGCAGAGGGCGGCGGGGCCGCGTAGCAGAGGGCGGCGGGGCCGCGTAGTAGAGGGCGGCGGGGCCGCGTAGCAGAGGGCGGCGGGGCCGCGTAGTAGAGGGCGGCGGGGCCGCAATCGAAGGGCGGCGGGGCCGCGTATCAGAGGGCGGCGGGGCCGCGTGGCAGAGGGCGGCGGGGCCGCGTAGCCGAGGGCGGCGGGGCCGCGATCGAAGGGCGGCGGTGGGGCCGCGTAGCAGAGGGCGGCGGGGCCGCGATCGAAGGGCGGCGGGGCCGCTAGGGAAGGGCGGCGGAGCCGCTAGGGGAAGGGCGGCGCAACGGGCCGCTAGGGGCGACACGACGGGTCGCTAAAAAAAAACGCGCCTCGGGGCGCGGTTCGGTGGGCCCTAGAAGCAGTCCCTAAGAGGGAACCTGCTCTGATTCCATGTGGAAACAAAGAACGAGAATGAATGACTATGAAGTGAAGTGAATACAAATAGGAAACCCTAATGTGCTGTACCCCCTATGGGATACCCCACTATAGCCTACACAAACAAGTAAGCTATATGTTCTGACAATGTAGGCCGTTGCCGCTGTGCTTAGTCCTGGGCCTCCCAGTGTGGGGGGGTGTCAGTATATCTACACTGTGGATGCCCGATTGATCCTGGAGAGGGTTACAGACGCGTTCGCCTGGGGGGTTATGGGCGCACTCACCCGCTACTGAAACAAGCCCTTTTATCCCAATGGTCTAGTGGTTGGGATTCTGACAGCCCATATGGGGTACACATTGCTAGGGTTGCATATTTGTATCACTTCCATTCATAGTTCACCCCCTTCTCGTTTTATTTTTCTCAAGTGATACCTGTCATGGTCTATGTGGAATGACGATGGTGCTGTATTCAGGAGGATGAGCGGAATTGCTGCATCATAGCACCGTATACTGTATTTCAATATGTTTTCAATCACGCTTCTTACATGTTATATGTTGTCAGTGACTGCAAAGCACATATAGATCCCTTATGAATGACATTAAAATGTGACCACATCATTCTCACAACCTATCTTTCAGCACCATAATTTCTAATCACCCTCTTGTAACTTATCTATTGCTATAGATTAGGCGGGCTTTTTTTGTAGAGAATATATGAGCTTATATTATCGTATAACGTACTTGCTGTTGCTATTATTAAAATAATGAGCACTATTAGCATTTTTCTGTCATTATAATCAGGCACAACTAGATATGGTCGAGGAGGATCCCCATCAAATGAGGAGTAAATCTGTGGATACACTTTCCAGCACTGAAGGTACCCAGGCTAAAAGGTAGCAGACTGCAAAGTTGTGGGCTGGATAGTATTTGAAGTTGTAACATGCCCATCACTTTTTGACCTACAGTGAGTGCTGCTTCACCTCACTCAGAATTTGGGATTTCACAGGATTAGCCTTTGTCGTTCACGCACGATCATATGGCTGATGAGACCTTGTAGACGGCGAATCTCTCTACGCTGTACGAATGGACGGAGGTTCTCCACATCAGCTGAAGGAGAGTGGTGAAATGTTGAGAACCAAACTTTCTCTCTAATCAAGGAGCCACAGCTCAGCGGCGCCTTCTGGTCCAGTGATTTTTATGGAAAGCACTGTGCATTGGGTACAGTGGAAGGTTATGAACGACAAAATCCATTTCCATGTTGAAACTGATACAATTTCCGCGGGGTTGGGGCGGGGGTTGCGCAGCAGACTGAAGCGGAGAGTGGAAGCGAGTCAGGGAAGGAAGGGAAGGTGTACTTGTGAAGGGAGGTGAGGGACATGAGGGAAGCAGGAATGGTGGGCTGAGTAGAGGTGAGGTGAGGTGAGGTGATTTAGCGGAGGTAGTGGGAGAGGTAAGTGTGAGGGAAATGAAGAGAATCGGGCGGGATATCATGAGAAAATGGGTGGCAGTATCTCCTCGCTCATCCAGTCACGCACAGTGTTATCCTCCTGCGCTTCGCTGATTGAGCCGGCTGCTAGGCTAGCGAACAGAGCTGAACGGAGAGCCATGCACCTTCCGGCGTCGTCTCGTCTGGCTATACCAACGAACCGTCACTTGAATCGACAACTCATTTCCTGTTTCGCGAGTTGAGTTCTTCCCCCTTGAAGCGATGGCGGCCGCCAACTCGCTTCCCGCTCTTCTGCTTCTGTTCGTCCTCTCCAGCAGCGTCACATTCGCTTGTGCTCGCCGACTTCCGTCCGTGCAGAGTCAGCCAGAATCAGATTTTGCTGCTAGCGGGGTTGCGACCGCCGCCAATCGCGGCGGCAATGTCGCAGAATGCGTCGCCGTGGGGTTGAGCGAGCTCGCCAGCTTCCTTGGAGCGTCCAGTCGCCGCGTCTTCTCGCCGCGAAGCGTTTTTATGGGACCTGGAGCGGAAGAGTGGGTCTCCTTCACTCCTCGAGATAAGGGACAAGCCCTGAAAGACCTTAGCGGGTCAATCTCTAATCCGACGTTCGCGGTTGAGTCTCTCACCTCGTATCGCCTTCTAAACAGCCTCTACAAGCCCGCGAATCACGCGTTGGTCGTCCTCGGCTCGGTCCACTCAGCCGCGCCAGGCTCTGAATCCAGAGGTGACAAGAATGAGGGGAAATTCCTCGCATTCTGGGATCAAATCCGACCTTCGGACAGTGATTCCGACGACTGCTCCCAGTGGGGTGTCAGCTGGCTGATGTGGCAAAACCGCGCCGCCAAGGACCAATTCAAAAGGGTCCCGTTCACGGCTACGATTTCTGCAGCTTCTTCCGTTTCTCCTGGCGTCACGACAGAGCTTCCTGCGGCAGCGCAAGCGGCGACCGACGTACCAGACGTTCTATTGATGGACAATGATCTCGGACACCTGGACGCAGTCAAGGCGGCGCAGAGTCAGAACGAGGAGGCTGAAGCGCACTCCGGCGAAGACCAGGAAGTGAATACGCGGGATCTAGGGATGGCGCCGCAACAATCGGAAGTGCATTTCCACGTCCAGACGGCTTGGAGTGCGTTCGTGTCTGCGCTCGCGGCTGATGACGTGGCGTCGGCATCGTCTATCCTGTTTGATCCTGAAGCTGCGATGCTCATGGCTCCTGGTGCCGAAAGCGTGACTCTTGTGACGGAACAAGAGAAGGCGAACCTGCTCAATGTAAGGAATACGACAATTGCCCCTGCTCTGTCGCGACTTTGAGACGAAGGAGGTATAACATGAGTTGGCTCTACCTCCATTTGTTATTGTCTACTAACTAATGTGTTCCATTGATTCTTGTGTCATCTGATTCTCCTTTCCTCATTCAGGAATTCAAGGCGTCACACCTGTCGCTATCCGTTATCGTGGGGGAAGTAGAAGTTCTGCAAGTTGAAGGCTCAAAGTCGTTCGCCGCTCTCGCGCGATCGACCTACAGCATTGCAGACGCCCAAGGTACTTGGACACGTGATTCTGGGCCAAAGCAATGGAGAAGTTCCTATTTCATTCTATTTCTTTCTCGTGTTCGCAACCTTAGCCATAACCTTGCTCCATTGGTTCTTGCTGCCCCTTTTCGTACACCCAGGTGTGGAGGTTGAGCACGGAAAGAGGGTGGAGCTATGGCGCCCAAGTGGTACTAATGGGGGAGGGTGGCATCTCGTATGGTCCATGTGGAACGATAACGGCCCAGTGCTGAGTAGGGAAGAGGCCATGGCTGCTTACCAGAACGATAAATTTGTCCATCAAGATGACCCCGTGACCTCCAACTTCTAATAAGTATGGTACCAATTTGGATCCATGCCTTATATTGAGGCTATATCGACCCCTTTTCCACACTTGATGTGGTTTTTTACTATGGGATATCGTTGTTTCGAACGTTGTAAAGAAGTAGAGAATCAAATCAACCATCCCCTAGGTTGATGACCAGATGCCAACTATGTAATATTATTGGCAGTGGAAGCCTTACCTGTCAGAACACTGATTGAGACATGACGCATTAACGAGTTTCGGAGTAATCCGCGTTACGAATGGAGTAGCCAGCTATGTGGGGGTAATTACATTCTGGGTAACCAATATCGAGCCCGCTGACGTCTAAAGTTACCTACGTGGCACGATGGTACCCGTCAGATAATGCGCGCCCCTTGGTGGTACCCATCTTCCCTCTGTGGTACCCATCTTCCCTGCGTGGTACCCATCAACTGTGCGTGAATTCCCTGACTGGTACCGCAACATTTCAACCGAGCTGTACATTGTACAACAAGGGCTTCAATGCGTTTTTCAATATATTATACCAACGTTTTCTGTCTGCAATTGAACATTAATACCTTAGAACGTGCCTTACACTGGACAGAGTGCGACCTAGAAAAAATCAACTCCCATTCTAAAATCTTACCTCCGAACCTTTGTAAGCTCACACGACTGAGCAATAGGTAGCGTAAATCTTACGACCATGTTTATCAGCGTGGTGCTGGTAATCTGAACAAAGTTCATAAGGTTGTATGCAAATAAATTGAGCATATACCCCCCAAAAAAAACGGAAAAGCGTAAATGAATAATACGTACATGCGTTGGTTTCTAGAAACAAACAATACCTATTAATGAAAATCAAATAAACTTAACTTAATATATATATGACGTGTCAGTTGATTGTTTGTTATACGGATGTGAATTGTGTTTCAGTTGATGCAATATATCAGTTTGGATTTAGATTATAGCACGTTATAATGTGGATGTTTATGATCCTAAAGAAATTTACATAATAAATGTTTTCCTTTTTTAGGATCCAGCTTTTCTTCTACACTTTATTATAGGTAATGCGCTTGAAATTTTGACCCGATTATGTGGCACTTCGGGCTTCGGACTCTATTGAGCTTGTAAACATGAAGACAATATAGTGAAAAACGCATTGAAACCCTTTTTGTACGGTGTACAGCTCGGTTGAAGTTTTGCGTTACCAGTCACGGAATTCGCGCACATTTGATGGGTACCACGCTGGGAAGATGGGTATCACGGAGGGAAGATGGGTACCACCAAGGGGCGCGCATGATCTGACGGGTACCATCGAACCGCGTAGGTGACTTTTGACCTCAGCGGGCTCAATGTTGGCTACCCAGAATGTAATTACCCATGTCGTCGCACAGAATGACAGGAGTGTGTCCACCGTGGCATTCGCGATAGAATCTTCAGAATTCCAGTCCAGCAAAGTGCTGTTTCAGGGCTCACATATTTTGTTTCGCCCAGAATAATTGGCTCACAGCCTCACAGCCCCACGCTGCCATGGGATCTTTCGCTGCTTCACCAGTCGAAGGCTGCGTGGCACAGGAGTCCACGCTTCGCCAGCGAAGGATATGTCCAAGCCACTCCTCATGGATCAAGAAAAACGCTTGCGTGGCAAGCCTCTGCCACATGTTTTGCCACGTGGATAAACAAAGTTCCTCCAACCATTTTCCCCAGCCCGAATCAGGGACAACCAGCGCCACCGCGGAAGGCCTTGAGATGGCGTTCCTGAGATGGGGCCCCATCCGAACTTCCCCCAGAAACACCCCCGGCTCCGCTCCAGCCATAACCATATCCGCCACGCCCCGCGCTCACCACCACAACCACCCTGCCTGGGCGCAAGCCTTCCGCAACGCCAAAGGCGCGCCACGGGGGAATCCCCCCTATGGTGTTGAGCGCGCCAATCCACAGCGCATGGCATTCCAATCCATTGCCTAGCTGTTGCTACACCGCCTGACCATCCATGGCTGCCTCTTGGAACCAGAATTCGTCGTCAGCCGTTCAATGATAATTGAAGGAACCAGGGCTGCTTCTTAAAAGCGTCGCATTTCTCCAGAAAGCTTAAGACGCTCAGAGAAGCGAAACCTCGCTCCATTTGTACGAAATTCGCCTGCGAGTCTCTGTTGTCTCTGTTGCCATGGCGACCGTCACCATCCCCGCCGCTAAGGCGTCGCTCGCGCCCGTCGCGCGCAGCGAGAACAAGTCGGCAGGCGCCGCGAAGGTCGGCTTTGCTTCGTCTGGCCTCGCTGGAGCTCGCCTCACCACTAAAGCGCCTCGCGCCGCCAAGCAGGCTGCTACTAGCGCCAGACCCGCCGCTCCTCGCGCCGTGATTGATTCCAGCAGCGCCAAGGATGTCTGCATGGATCCTGACGTCAGCCAGGTCAGGCCAGAATAGTGACGCGTGAATCGGTTCATATCTAGGGCAATGGCGCCATCGTCTGTAGCTACGGACCGTTCTCGTCACGTAGGATATCCAGCAGCTCCAAGGATGGTCCCTGCTTGTAGATTAGTCGAGCTTGACGGATGTCTTTGCCTGACACGTGGCACCATGAACCGCTCCCGTGTCCCTGACATCACTCAGACGGTCGATTTGTAGAAGTCTACTTACGACACATAGCGGTGGTCAATGTCCCACGTCATTAATGCATCTGATACATTGTTACCTCACTTCTTCGTCGCATTTTCCTGTTCTCTAAAATGTTTGCTATACAGCAAGTCCTCGGTGACTCTGTCGTTGCGACACTTATTGCTGTAGGCTTCCGGACGCAGATAATACTGAACCTAGCCCAACAATTTTCCTTACTTCTCCTAACATTGTTACCTCCCTCTATCTCCGTGTTATGTCCCGGCTGGTTCACCGTTGTTTCCCTCCGCCTTTCAGAGTGTTCTCGGTATCATTCTTGGCGGTGGTGCCGGCACCCGTCTCTACCCGCTCACCAAGAAGCGCGCCAAGCCCGCCGTGCCTCTGGGCGCCAACTACCGCCTGATCGACATCCCCGTTAGTAACTGCATCAACAGCAACATTGTGAAGATCTACGTGATGACGCAGTTCAACTCGGCGTCGCTCAACAGGCATCTGTCGCGCGCGTACACGAGCAACATGGGTGGTTACAAGACGCAGGGCTTCGTCGAAGTGCTCGCAGCGCAGCAGAGCCCCGAGAACCCTAACTGGTTCCAGGTACGCAACACTCCGGCCTTATTTTCATAGAATATCAAGGTAAGCGAATTCCGGGATTCCACAAATATCGCGTGGCCGGTTTCCTCTTGGCCTTCGACCGAGTGTGCTTTGTGTTCCGGATTTGAACCCAAAGCTGCGCAAGCTTGGCGCGGAGTCGAGAGGGTAAGTTCGTCTGAAGGATGCGCGCGCACTGACAATTACTGGTGTTAACGTTTGCGCCGTCTGTATAATGTCTTGGATTTGGTTAAGCTTGCCGGTTCGGATGCACTGGGCAAGGCAGCAGGTGCGGGCGTGCTGCTGCGAGCCAATCAGGATCGCGCGATGCGGGACCACAAGTTGTGGCTGTCGTCGCCGCGTGATGTCGGCCAACTTTTGGGACCACGAGTTGTGGCTGCAATTTTTCCAAAATGCTCGGGAATCACCTAAAGCGGTCGACCATCTGTACCGCATGGACTACCAGCGATTCATCAAGTGCCGCCGCCTGCTCTCACCCTCCCTCCCTCTTTCCCTTCCTTCCATCTCATGCTGAAGAGCCCGTGGGAGCTTCATCGTCAAACAGGATTACTGCACGGACTATCGTCCCACCAGCCGTTCATCAAGTGTCACGTCGTCCCTCCCTCCCTCCCTCCCCGTCGTCTTCCCGCGCTCCCTCCGCAGGGCACGGCGGACGCGGTGCGGCAGTACCTGTGGCAGCTGGAGGAGCAGAATGTGCAGGAGTTCCTCATTCTCGCGGGAGACCACCTGTACCGCATGGACTACCAGCGCTTCATCAAGTGCCACCGCGAGAACGATGCCGACATCACCATCGCCGCGCTGCCCATGGACGAGAAGCGCGCCGAGGCCTTCGGGCTCATGAAGATCGACGACACGGGCCGCATCGTCGAGTTCGCCGAGAAGCCCAAGGGCGACGCGCTTAAGGCCATGCAGGTACGAATTGCTGAGAAGCAAGGCTGACGCGTCCTCCCAGGCATGCCGTATTTGCTCCTGTCTCTCCCTCCCCATCCCCTCTTGCTCCCCTTCCTCTTCCCCTAAACACGGCCCACGTTCTTCTCCCCCCCCCCCCCTCCCCCAAATACCCCTCCCCCCCCAACCCCGTCACTGCCTCACCTTTCCTCCCCTCTCTCCCTCCTCCTCTCCTCCTCCTTTCCTTTCCTTCCGCGTATCACCACAGGTGGACACGACGATTCTCGGGCTGGACGCGGAGCGCGCCAAGGAGATGCCGTACATCGCGTCGATGGGCATCTACGTCATCAGCAAGGACGCCATGATCCGCATGCTCGCCGACGACTTCCCCGACGCTAATGACTTCGGCTCCGAGGTCATTCCTGGGGCCTGCGCCAAGGGCGCCAAGGTGAGCGAGTGCTTCACGGGGAGCCAAGGGCGTGGGGGGTGGGCCATGGTGGGGAGACATGGGGAGGCGGTGAGGTGAAAGAGTCGAGGATGCCATGGTCCGCATTGTTTGCGGAGGAATTCACTGATGCTAATGACTCTGGCTCCGAAGTCATCCCTGGGACGTGAAGGGCGCCAATGTGAAGGATTCAAGGATTGGTTAGGCCATAGACGGCAGGGGAAGGTGAAGTGAATGGCGTAAGGTGGGAAATGGTGGCGGCAGCAAGATGAAACGGGAGTGTAGAGACAGAGACGTGAGATGGAAGAGTTGGTAGGTTGAGAAAGAGAGACGCTGATGGAGGGTCGCAGGGGAAGTTAGGAGATGGTGGAGATGGAGATGAAGCTTCTCCTCATGCTGTTAGTTGTTTCAAAACTTGAGATGGATTCTCGTGCTTCACATCCCCACCGTCTCTTCGTCCAACTCATCCACCTGCAGCTCCCTTTTGCCCACCGTTTCCATTCATTGCGTGTTCCTGTTCGACTTCTACTTTCTTCGTCCCCTCTTGGCCGCAATGATGGCAGTCTCAGCACCAGCCTCACTCCTCCTGTTCTCTCCATCCCCTTCTCCTGATTGTCATATCTTGTTACCACCACCAGGTGCAAGCGTTCCTGTACGATGGGTACTGGGAAGACATTGGAACCATCGAGGCCTTTTACAACGCCAACCTCGCCACGACGCAGCCGGACTCGCCCTTCAGCTTCTACGACCGCTCTGCACCCATCTACACCCAGGCGCGCTACCTGCCGCCGTCCAAGCTGCAGAGCGTGGACATCTCTGAGAGCGTCATCGGCGAGGGATGCGTCATTGAGGTGAGTGCTGAATGGCTGAGATGACATCATTGTAGGTGGGAGGGGATGAGTGAGATGGGAGTGATTCACAAAGGCAGCATCAGCAATGCACCCATCCACACCCAGGCACACTTCAAGCTGCCACTGGTTGTGCTGCAGAATCAAGGCGAGTCTGGAGGGATGTTACTTGTGATGACTGGCGGTGTGTGGGGCGATGGCTGTAGCCACCTCTGCCACCAGCTGCATTGACCAGTAGTTTGATGGAGAGACGGTGTGCCTTCGATACACAGCATGCTCTCATTCTACACCACCTCCCTCCTTTCACCCCTCTTGCACCCTTCTTCAGTTCTTAACCCCCTTCTGCTCTCCCATTCCCCTCGTTTCCTGTGCTGCATCCTCTATGTGCTGCAGGACTCGCAACTACACCACTCGGTGATCGGTCTTCGTGCCAAGATCGGTGCAGGGTCGATCATCAAGGACACGCTGGTCATGGGTGCTGATTACTATGAGGTGAGAGTAGTGGGATGTTGAGCTGTCGTACGAGGCGAGTGTGCTCCTTGTTGCATTTATTGGTCGTGAGGTGAGTGTGTTAATGATGCTGAATGATGTGAGGAATTGCATGGTGCTGAGCTGATAATGCCACAGGTTTTCCACCTGCATTCACTCCATCTGCTTTTCCCCCCACTTAGCCTCCCTTTGCCTTTCTTGCGTCATCTATTCTGTTGTACCAACCAGACGGAGGAGCAACAGGAGGCTCTGGTTGCCAGTGGTGGCGTGCCGATTGGCATTGGAAAGAACGTGGTGATTCACAAGGCCATCATTGACAAGAATGCGCGCATCGGGGACAACGTGCAGATCATCAACAAGGACCAGGTGGAGGAGGCAGCTCGGGAGACAGATGGCTACTTCATTAAGAGCGGCATTGTTACGGTCATCAAGGATGCTGTGATCCCCCCCGGCACCGTTATCTAGATGGTTAGAGAGCTGTGCTACAGCCTCAGTTTTGTGAAATCTGAATTGTGTTTTGGTATTGTCCATGGTTGGACGATTGGTGCATGTATGAAAATTTGAACGATAGCCTTTATTAACAAAGGCGTTTAGGGTAATTGAAACCAGAGAGCCTACTGAATCCCTCAAGTTCCTCATACCATTGGTTGTGTAGATACTGTTATCTTTTGTCATGCTAAGGGCGGGTCAAACAATGTACGTATTCTCAGAAAACCCTACCCAATGTAAGGAAATTCCCTTTTCCTTACTTCGCGTCCCTGCTCAACGCGTACATCACTGTAGCACCTCAGTCAGCACCGTTACCACTCGCGACCATCGCATCATTCATCATCCCGCCCTTTTCGCACATCGCATCCCGACCTCACGGCTCGGCTAGTAACCCGCGCTCCGGGCCTACGCTTCGACACTTTCCCAACCTCAGTCCCAGGCTCGTCGCGCGACCATTACCGTTACCACTATAGTTTCGCTATATAATGTTCGCTCATGCCTTCGCTCATTTGTATTCTTGCTTTGATAGTGCAATTCTCGTTCGTTCACTCAATTGCACTCGTAACACTTGGTATTCAGAGCCTACGATCTCATCTCGGACCGCACCCACACCTTCGCTTCCCACTATCTCAAATTTTGGGGGGGGTAGACGTCTCTTAGCGACACAGCACCGCCGCTCGTAGTGCTCTCTCGAAAGCACGCACGGCCACGACCGAGGCTCTCGCTGAGCTTGCCCGACACCCCCGCCATGGCCGATTTCAATCTCGCCACGTTGACGCAGGAGCAACTCGATCGTCTCGTGCGTCAATTGGAGGATTCGGCGCTCGAAATCGCGACTCTCACGGCGGAACGTGACTCCGCCCGTCAACAGTCAACGGTGAACGTACCGACGACACCACATGCACCAACCAATGCATCTGCACATTCGGAGGAGCCCATCGTCATCTCATCCGGCACACCAACGCAACACAACAGCACGGGACAGCGCTCAGGCGCAGCCAGTGACGGCGCAGCCCAACCGATGCCCGGCATGGGAGGGAACAGGAGCGCATTAAGCCCACGGGAGCCCCGAGAAGCCCGTCGGCACGTGGAGTTTGCGGCGACAAGTGGCGAGAACGCCGTGATGGCCCCAATGCCACTCAAGCCGCAACGCCCGCCCTGCTTCGACCCAAGCCAACGCGGCGGCCCGACAGTTCAATCGTGGGTCTTCACGATGAATGTGTTTTTCGACGCCAACTACGTCGAGTCGGACGCCGCCAAGATCCGGTATGCGGTTTCACTACTCAGGGGCCCCGCCATGGACTGGTGGCGAGTCATTGTGACGTCGCCGCGCGCCTACGAGCCACCGTCGCACGAGGAAGGGCCCTCGGGTCCAGCTGTTACCTGGAGTTCGTTCTGCGAAACCGCTCAATACAGCACGTGGGATGCGTGGTGCGCAGGGCTTCGGGCGCGCTTTGAGCCGATCGCGGCCTCGATTTCGGCGCGTCAGAAACTGCGCACTTGGCGCCAGCTCGGGTCAGTTCAAGACTACACCAGCGGGTTCCTCGCACTTTGCGAACAGGTCGGCTACATGCACGAGGCGGAGCGGGTGGACCGTTACGTCAGAGGGCTGAAGCCGGACATCTCGCACGAGATAATGCTACGCGGGCTCTCGAATTTCAACGAGATCCTCGCGCTCGCCGAGAAAATCGATATCCTACGCCGACCGAGACCGGGGTCCTATTACGGACATCGTCCTCGGGGACCGACCGAGCACGCCACTGTACATGCCGTCGCAGCGAATGCAGCTGCCGCGCCGTTTAGAGGGCGCTGCTTTGCTTGCAACCGGCCGGGCCATCGCAAGAGCGAATGTCCAGAGGAGCTGAGGCGTCGAGGAGCAGAGCAGGGGAGGGAGTCTCAGAGGCAGGGAAACGCTGGCAGTCAGTAGAAATTGGGCCAACTATTGACGAGACTGCCTGCTCGCCCAACCACACCGACCCTCACCGAGTCACAGTACCGATTCACGCCATCGATCGGGCTCGGATGAATAAGGAGGGTACAGCGACGGATTGCCCGGTACTGATCCACGGGAAAATACAGGGAGCAGCAGTGAAGATCTTCATTGACGGAGGAGCAAGCCACAGCTTAGTTAATACCGCAACCGCACGAAAATTACAGTTAACGCTTAACCGATGTTTACCTGAGATAGATGCACGCTTAGTCGACGGCACGCCCCTAGCCATACGGGAAAAGGTGGAGCGCGTAAAAGTCCGCTGCGGGGGGAACTTCGGGTTTACACAGGAAATGCTCGCGACGACACTGGATAGGCACGACATTTTATTGGGACGTGATTGGCTGCGACGGTACAACCCACGGATCGACTGGACGACGGGGAGCTGCACAGTACGGAGTAGTGGTAACTGGGTCGTTCTACCTCGCTGGCAGCCACCCGAATCTTCGACGGTCCAAGTCAACGCTATCACGATGAAACGGGCTGTCGCTGCTGGAGCTGACGTGTACGCAGTGGATATCGCACTCGTAGAAAAAGATGAGCAGCCGTTGTCAAACATTATATATGTTATGCTTGTGTAGGCTACAGTGGGTTAGCCTATAGGGGGTACACAATTCTAGGGTTTCCTACTTGTACTCATTTCACTGCTAGTTCATTCATTTCCTGTTCACTTCTTTCACATGGTATAGAGCGGGTCCTTCCTTAGGACCGTTTTTTTTAGGGCCCACCGAAGCGCGCCCCGAGGCGCGCCTTTTTTTTAGCGACCCCTCGGGTCGCCATTTCCCTCGCGGCCCCGCTGTCCCTCAGACGCGGCCCCGCCACCCCTCCTGATCGCGGTCCCGCCGCCTGCTTGGCGCGGCCCCGCCGCCGGCTCTTACGCGGCCCTGCCGCCAGCTTCGTCGCGGCCCCGCCGCCTGCTTGACGCGGCCCCGCCGCCTCCACTGACGCGGCCCCGCTCCGCCGGCTCTGACGCGGCCCTACCGCCCGCTTGACGCGGCCCCGCCGCCTCCCCTGATGCGGCCCCACCGCCGGCTCTGCCGCTGCACCCTACGGCCCGCCGCTGCACCCTACGGCCCGCCGCCTCACCTGACGGCCCCGCCGCTGCATCTGCCGGCCCGCCGCTGCACCTGCCGGCCCGCCGCTGCACCTGCCGGCCCGCCGCTTCACCTGACGGCCCCGCCGCTGCACCTGCCGGCCCGCCGCTGCACCCCACGGCCCGCCGCTGCACCCTACGGCCCGCCGCCCCACCTGGTCTGCCCGCCGCTGCACCCTACGGCCCCGCCACTGCACCTGCCGGCCCGCCGCTGCACCGGTCGACCCGCCGCTGCACCTGACGGCCCCGCCCCTGCATCTCCCGGCCGAGCCGCCCCAGCAGCAGAGCCGCCCCAGCAGCCGAACCCCCCGGGAGCCGAGCCGCTCAACGCCGAGCCGCCCGGGACCCGAGCCGCCCTGCTGCCGAGCCGCCCGGGAGCCGAGCCGCCCTGCACCCGAGCCGCCCTGCCGCCGAGCCGCCCGGGAGCCGAGCCGCCCTGCGCCCGAGCCGCCCAGCCGCCGAGCCGCCCGGGAGCCGAGCCGCTGTGCACCCGAGCCGCCCGGTCGTTGAGCCGCCTTTCTGCATAGCTGCACGACCTGCCCTGCCTGGTGAGCACAGTCCCACTGACACTGCGAGCTCTTTCCCTACTGCTTGCACTGCGTCACTGTCGTCGCCATGGCTACCCCTAGTGTCCTAGCTTTTGACGCTGAGGGTCGCGCCATTGATTTTGAGGTCTGGTTAGACGACCTGCAGCTGTTCTTACAGTGCGACAGGGCTGACGACCTTTCTCTCTTTGACCTCACCTCTGGCGCCTCTCCTGCTCCTGCTGCTGATGCTGATCCCACTGTCCGCTCTAAGTGGGCCACCCGCGATGCTGCTGCACGTCTTGCCGTGCGTCGCCACCTCCCTACCTCTGAGCGTGCGCACTTTAGTCAGTACAAGAGTGCTCAGACCTTGTACGACGCTGTAGTTGCGCGCTACTCCTCCCCTGCCACTGCTGCACTGAGCCGTCTCATGCTTCCCTACCTCTTTCCTGACCTCTCTGCCTTTCCCACTGTCGCTGACCTCATTACGCACCTCCGCACTAGTGACACTCGCTACCGCGCCGCCCTTCCTGCTGAGTTCTGCGCTAAGAACCCCCCCCCCCATGTACATCGCTCTCTACTACGTAGTCGCGCGCCTCCCTGACTCCCTTCGCGTCGTCAGGGACCACTTTCTCGCAGTCTGTCCCACCACCCTCACCGTCGACCTCCTCGAGAAGGCCCTCCTCGCAGCGGAGAAGAGCATAGTCGCTGTAGGTGCTTCTCGTGGTGACCCTCGCACCCCCATCTTTGAGGGGTGCTCTCCTTCCCCCTTGCTGCCCTCTGTTGCCTCTGCTGCTGCTGCCGACCTGCTTGGTCTTGAGTCGGTCGGCGCGGCGTCTGCCCCTAGTGGGAGACGTCGCTCCAGCAAGGGCAAGGGGGGCAAGGGCGCGGGTGGAGCTGGAGGGGGCGGTGGCGGTGGCGGCGGTGGCGGCGGAGGGAGTGGGGGTGGCGTCGGGACTAGTGGCGGGGGTGGTGGTGGTGGTGGCAGCAGCGGCGGAGACGGTGGTGGTGGTGCCAGCGGTGGTGGTGGAGGCAGCGGCGGAGGTGGAGGCGGCGGAGGTGGAGGCGGTGGAGGCGGCAGCGGAGGAGGCGGTGGTGGTGGAGGAGGTGGAGCTGGTCGAGGTGGTGCCCAGCAGCGTAGCGGCGGTGGTGGTGGCCAGCGCTCGCAGCGGCAGCAGCAGCAGCGCTCGCGGGACATCCCTCCGCCTCAGCAGCTTCGTGAGTGGTACGCTGGGCGTCAGAGGGGTGGGGGTACTGGTCCCTGCACCTACGTTCTTCGTTCCGGCGACCGCGCGGGTGAGCAGTGTGGGGGTGCCCACGCCACCCAGCGCTGCTTTGGCCGCCTGACGGACGCTTGGCGTCAGTAGTT